ATATGATATAATGTGAGAAGAGATTTAAGACTGTTCAACAAAATTGCCAAAAAAATATACGATATTGGAGGATATATAATTGTTCTCCTTAGATAATCTGTTGACTGTTATCTTTCTTTTTCATGTGGTCAATAGACTATTACCGTTTATGGAAAGTAAATTACTAAAACAGAGAGGTGGACTCATGCACACCCCAGTTGGGCTGACATATTCCTCAAACCCAAAAATGGGATATCTATAGTAGTTGGCAAAGCTGTACAACTCAACTGAATATGGACATGTATACCTAGTACATGTATATGTGTACTAAATATATGTATGCTACATATTTTTATTTTTTTTTAGAAAAACACTAATTTTTATTTCTTAAAATTAGTACTATAAATCAATTTGACCTTTGGTATTAAAAAAAGGTAAACTTTTGATTTTAATAGTCATTAATTAATTAATTTCCTAAAATTGACACGACAGTCAATTTGATTTTTAATATTATTAAATCAATTAATTTAGTCTGAATGTAACAATTATTATCAACTTAGCTCCAGAAATTGTCAACTATCAGTTTATTTGACCTATTATTTGAGACAAAGTTAACTTATTACAACAAAATCAAGGATAAAATGATTAATAACCTCTAAAGTCAAAGGAGAAAAATGAATGATTGTTAATTGTAAGGATTAAATTTATTTTTTAAAATAATTTTAAGAATTAAAATGATTGATAACGACAATTTCATGAATTAATTTAATGTTTCATTCTAATTTTATAATTGTTGTGCAAAAAAAGTCAGACAATTCATTATCTAAGTTCATAAAAATACAAAAGAGGATTATTTTAATTTTTAAAATTACCAACTGAAAATCATTTTAATTCCTAACATTATTAAACAAGGGTCATTTTATTTTTTGAAATTACAAAATTTAGAGACTAAAAAAATATTGTTTATAATTATTTTTTTATTTTGGTGTATTATTTAAAATGTAGTTGCAAATATAGATATATGTTATTTCGGATTGATATTATTTTTCCAGTTTTTTCCCCAAGACATCTCCTATTATTTAAACAAATTCCAATTTGGTGTGTGGGAGTGCCTCTTAAATCTAGGAAGTTGAAGTACTTTGAGAAAATAAGGCATCACAAAAAAAACCTACACTTTTTTCTTTAGATGCTAAGTAAATTAATGCAATACTACTAAGATGGTGCTTGTCTACATTATAAAGCATTAGCAGGAAAAGAGAATACGGGGGTTAGAATATATGAACAATTATCAATTGGGTAAATTTTAGAGACCAGGGTGGTTTTCGATTGCACTAGATTCTGTAAAGCTATTTCTTCTCTAAATCAAACATCTAACTTCGAGTGACAAGGAGGATAGAAAAGTCTAAAACGGTCTGAATTTTTTGTGATCGATCAATGCTTTGTTCTATAATGTTTATGTACGAATTATTGGGATGTGTTTGGAGTTTAATCTGGTAGGTAGGATGATGGTTTGTAAATTGGTCGGAATTTGTTGTGACGAGGATTCTAATTACCTCTTCTAGCATGAAAGTGAATAAAGGAGAAAAAATAAATAGAAAAGGAAAACGAAATGAAGGTCAGAATATATATGATCTCATTCTAGAAATTGACCCCCCCATAAAGTAGAAAATTATGGTTTAAATAATTGCCAAGAGAGGCACCCATATTAAATAATACCCAACACAATACCTTGAGCACAGGTGATATGTGAAAATAAGCTGGATGGAAAAACTGGCATTCAATATTTAATAACAACTGTAGCCGTGTAAGGGGTTGTAGATAGAGTGAGAAGTTATATTCTTGGTTCGAATTGTAGTTGCAATTTGCCAATTTGAATATTTTGTTAAATATTGATTCTTTTGAATATTCTTTAATGAACCTCGGATATACTTGCACATAATTGGATGGTATATATTCTATGTCATCCACATAGTTCAATTATTTGAAGCACTCAGTGCCACGACAATGTTTACTTTGATGCCTAGTGGGCCATTTCAACCGAGGTTGGACTAGGATTGATACTATGCAAAAATTCTTGATGCAAATAAGCTATTTGCAAAACTTCAAGAACATGGAAACATTGTTCATACCCTGGTCTGATAGAAAAAGCATTGATGATACAAAAGCATAGATATGAAGTGTCCTTTTAGGAGCACTTGGGTGCACATGACAGACCTAGTTAGAGCTCCTACAGCAGGCTATACTCAACTTGCCCCTCAAAAACAGTTCCCTTTCTTATCACTTCCCATGAATCCATATGTACCTTTCAAGACCTGATCAGTTGAACCCTATACAATTATAGCACCTCATAGGTATAGATATATGATGTTCAAGTTTCCTAATTGTCCGGAATATGTCTTGACTTGCATTTGTGTTTTGCTGACACAAATTAAGTAAGGGTGTGCAAGAAAATTAATCATGTATAAAAGAAAAAATTCAATGCTTCTTCATGCCTACTCTACTCTTACTTAAAATCCTACATTTTTACCTAGTGACATATTGCTCACGTCATTCTATGCAAGTGATCATGTTTGACATAACATTTTAATTTCAGTAAAATTCAATTATTCTATGGTGGGATGTTGACAAGTTCCTTTTGCTTCTCTTTTTGTGATTCCTGAGGCCACATTCTTCTCATCTTCTTTCACTGCTTTTGGATTTGTGAGATCTTCCTTGCTGGGTCCATTAAAAGAGTAATAATTGATGAGGCAACTTTGCTTAAATGACTTTTGATTCACCGGACCTTCTCCTACTGATCTAATAAAAATACCGGGGTCCCTTTGCCTTTAGAATCATCATGGAATCTCCTTTACCTGTTGTGGAATATATTAAAGCAAGAAAGAAAGGAGCTTCAAGTACAGCAGCTGTTAAAGATGAATGTCTTGCAATTACTCTCCATCTTTTTCTTGTTTTTCAAACGTTTGGTCCACGTACAACAAATACGTGTCAATAATAATATTCCTTTCTTTCAATCTGAGCTAAGCTTGCCACTAAGGTCTTGAATGTGTTTCAAGACACAAGTAGCAAATGCTTACATAAGAAGAACCCACCCTTTCATCCATTGTTGTTGTAGGGCCTACCAAGACCATCCTTGTACTCTACTATTTGGTAAAAACTTATCTCATAATGGTAACTAATGGTTGGTGGATATTTTTCACTCCAAATAAATAGTGTCTTACATTCCACTAGCAGTTGAATTGTGGTAAGTCAACTAATCAGGATAATATGTTGTGTGGCTTCTAATGGATATCTTAAAGTAAATTTGGATCGATTTTCCTCATTTTGAATCATGGGATACTATTAAACAATTCTAGGAGACCTTATGGGAATCCATAGTACTGAAATGGCAGTGTAGTGAAAAACCAATAATTCATTTTGATTATAGTGATCAAACTCTAAGCGCAACCAAAGATATGTTGTGAAGAGTGACTTGCTCCAATTGACTTTTACAATTTGTTGTTGGCCATTATAAACCTCCTTTACCTTTTTCTTCTTTCCTTTTATTTTTGGTTAAATTCTCTTTTCTTTTCTTTTCTTCTCTTCAGCTTGGATATAGATCACAGCATTAAAGCATGCATGATTCCCTTTAGAATAATTTCTTTATGGGACTCGTATGATGAGTGAGCCCTGTAGATAAGGTTTAAGAACAAAAAAAGTGCAAAGCAGCCACATTTGTGTGCATGTTCTTTCCATCTACTACTGACTGTTAGTAGTCTCAGTTTTCTTACTAACTTCCATTAGTTATTTCGTTGCCATGCAGCTCAACAGTAATATATATGGGGAGCTTCTCAGTACATTGCAATTGGAATATTATTTTATTATAATAATTTTATCTATGGACTCTTTTATTATGCAATGTTTTGGCTCAATTCCTTTATGGAATACAGCTTTTACAATGATGGAATTATATATACATGACCCTACTGATTGATTGGGTTAGTGCCTAGTTATGTCATGACAAGCACTCACTTGTGATGATGGTCCCTTAATGAACTTGGGGGTTGTGATTCCATTGCACGGATAATCTAAGAAATTGTAACCTGTTCAGTGCCTTGAACAAACACGTATTTTATTATTTTCATTTTCATATGGAGCTCCATCTTAATCTTAGAACACTGCTAATTAGCTACCTTTCTTCTACACTACTTTCTTTGTACAAACATTGGAGACTCTGGGTCCAAAAATCTAATCCTAGATTCTTTGATTCCTCCATCCCTACATGGAACAAAAAGAATCTGCCAATCACACCACACACAAACACCGCGTAACAAAAATCAAAATTAAGATAGCATTTGACTTGACTTTTTTTATTTTATTTTCACAACTATTTTAGAGTTTAAGTTAAGATAATATCTTTAGAAATCAAGTTAAAATTGTTTAATTTTTATCATTTTATTAAAATTATTATTAAATAATGATAACAAGTTAACAACAGTCTAAAAAATCTCCCTTTGGAACAGAACGGCCTCTAATTACTTTAATAGAATTCTTTTGCCATTAATTTTTTTTTTTTTTTACTTTTAGAAATTTTCTGAAATTGTGTATCACTTGGCATATTTTTTAAAGAGAAAGGAAATAAAAATAAGGTCACCACCAAATGCTACTTATGATAGAAAAAAAAAGATATGAAATTTGAAAAAAATAATTGATTCATTTAGTTTTCACTTCCAATCGATGAAAATATCCTTAACAGCAAACCCCATCAATTTTTTCCCTAAAAGTTTCTCACAGCATTAAGAAAGTAGTACCCTATTATTCATTATGGTGGGCCTACCAAATTCAGTAGGAATCAACAACAGAGAGGGAGAGTGTGAAGTGGGAAAACAGCAAGATAAAAACAAACCACACACTTTCCCTCTTTTCTCTCCTTTTAAGACCCAAAATTGAGCTGTTTTGCTTTCCCTGTTTTTGCTGCATCAGAGATTCTCTCCACCCCATTCAAGTCAAAGAAGAAAGAATAGAGGGAATTTTTTTTTATTTTTTAAAAAAGAAAAAGTGGGTATGAAATGGGATGAGAGAGGAGGAACCACAGCTCATGGCATATATTCCCCCAACATAACCCCACTTATGTTTCCTGATATGGAGTGAGATCATACAACAACACAACCAACTCCAACTTATAAAGAGAACTATAGCTACCACATATTGATGCATAGCTAAAAGGATCATAACAACATATTTATATTTCAGTCCCTTATTACCACTAAGTAGTAACTCATCCAAAAATAGCATATGGATCAACAAAACATGCAAAATCAAAGCATGCATTTTGTGCTATCCACCGATGCCAAACCAAGGCTAAAATGGACTCCTGAGCTTCACCAACGGTTCATTGAAGCAACTAATCAGCTTGGAGGTGCAGATAGTGAGTATAACACAAACTTTGATCACGCATTTCTATTTTTCATATTGTTATTAGATTTTTACAACACATCTTAATTTTTCACTCTGTGGCATGTGGCAGAAGCAACCCCAAAGAGTCTTATGAGGGTGATGGGAATTCCAGGGCTTACTTTGTACCACCTGAAGAGCCATTTACAGGCATTCATTTCCCTTTTGTAATGATATTATAATTCTTTGTTTTTTATGCACTGAATCTAGAAATCAGGAGTTGTAACTTTTCTTTTATTTTGTGTTTGTTATGGTTACAGAAATATAGACTTGGGAAAAGCCAGCAGCTAGAAACCTGCTCTGACAACAAACAAGAAGGTGGTGACTTGGAGTGTGTCTAGTTCAACAGCAAATAGCATAAATGATAATTTTCTATTTGGCATAATATTGATTGATGCTCCTTTTGGTGCAGATTACAGTGAAACCAAGAGCAGTGATGATCATTGCAGCAGGGAAATCAGTCTTGGGGCCCAGAATCAAACCACAGAGTAATAATAACTAGAAATTGATCAAATGTTTTTACTTTATTAGAATGAATATCTCATAAGGAAATAATGATATTGCCTAGAGCTTCTACTGATCAAATTATTTGTGTTTACCAGAAACTTGCAGATAGCTCAGGCTCTCCAAATGCAAATGGAAGTACAAAGGAAACTTTATGAACAAATTGAGGTATAGTACACATGATATGATTTATTAAACTTGCATAAGGACATGTTAATCAATTTGGACGATGAATTCAGGTGCAGAAACATTTGCAGCTAAGAATTGAAGCTCAAGGGAAGTATTTACAGTCAGTGCTAAAGAAGGCACAAGAAGCACTTGCAGGGTACAACTCTAGCCCAGTAGGTATAGAACTCACAAAAGCTGAACTTTCTCAGCTAGTTACCATCATCAACAATGCTTGCCCAAGTTCTCCAATCTCAGAACTCACAGAAACAAGAAGGTTGAGTTTGAACCAAGGAGAGAGGAAAAGAGACAGAGGAACCATGTGTTCCCTTGAAAGTTCTTTGACATCTTCTGAAAGCTCAGGGAGAAAAGAAGAGAAACAACTAATGGAAGACAAAAGTTCACTTGAATTGCCACTGATGAACATTCAAAGTGATGATAAAGCATCCAATGGAGACTCAAGTGATGAGGGTAGTGGAAGAAAGAGAAGTGCAGCCACCAAATCTGATGATGGTAGCTGTGTTGTTGAGCAACCATGTGGGAAAAGATGTGGCAACATGTTGAGGAAAGCCATGTTGTCACAAATGCTTGACTTGAACAGCCAGTGTCAGAGTGATGTGGACTCAACAAGTTCTAAAACATTAGACTTAAATTGCAGTTTAAACTTTTGGGAACCATGAAGATGGTTTTTATACTTTCTAGAAATCATCTGAACGTATGCAGCAAAATCATTATCATAAAAGAAATATGTTTATATTTATATAGTATGTATATGTCTATTATAATCAAAAGAAAGAACAATTGACTAAAGGGTATAATACACATATGATCTCATATGGTGTGGCACATCTCACTCTTCCACCACCCTTGACCCTCTTCTTGCTTTTCCTATCTCTTCTTGGTGCTGATATTGGGCCACAGAATAACAAATTTCTGCTGTTACAAGTTGGTAATGGGTACCCACTGGTTTGGTTTAATTATTATCCTTCTTAAGGCCCTACTAAAATATGAGTTGGTAACGTCAAACCCCCATAATCATTCCACTTTGAACCCAATTTTACTTCCAAGTAACTCACCAAGATTGTTGTGTTAGGCACATTAGTTTAAATTGACGTGATCTAAGATAAGTTTACTTGAACCGTCTAAAGGGAAGAAAGAAACTCATAACATAACCTATATAATAAGTTGTCGGCAAAAAAAATATAAATAAATGAATGAATGATGAGTAAAATAGCATGCCCATTTGGCAAATATTTGTGAGTACAAACTTGAATTTACTGGTGTTGATATCCAAGAGGCAACCAATAATTTGCATAATCCATTTTGATAAAAATTAAATGATGCACTTCACTTACTCGCAAATGAATGTACAATGCTAGATGTGGAACTTGAACCCTTAGTATAAAGTCTTTGATAATGCTTATCATGTTAATCCAAATAAGCTAGATCCTATTTTTTGTTTACGACAACCTATTTATGACAACTCCAACTAAGCAACTTTCATAAGTGACATATATATATATATATATATATATTTTGAGCAAATATTCTTACACTTGTTATAAATCTAAAAACTTTTATCCTCAGTTTTAACTTTTTATTTAACTTAAATTTAACGGTATTATCAAATCATTCTTTTCTTTTAATTATTTCAACTAACATTTTACTTCAACCTAGTAATTCTAAACATTTTTAACTGAATCTTGTAACCCATACTTTTAAAAAGCAGCAGAATAGTTGAATTGGTCAGTTTGAAAGATATGTGGAATAGAAAATTGGTTAAATCGGCTAAAATTAGACAAGAACAGGTGAGAAAATTGATTTGAACTTGTCAATGTATAAAAAATTAATATTGTTTAATTTTAAAAGTTATTTTAAAATATCTTCTAAATAAATACAGAGTCATATATGATATTTTGATATAAATTTATCGTCATTTAACTATTTACTGTAATTTTTATCTTATAAAACATATAATAAGATTACTTTTTGCTAATTTAAAATTTTAGTCAAATTACGTTTCTTTAATTTTATTATTATCCATCCAACTTCAATTCAATTATTGAATCAATAAAGTGTGAATTAATACTTTCATTGGATGACTAATTCAATATTTAAAAACTTTAAAAAAATATAGTTAAAAATAACTATAAACTTTTGATTTGTTCTCTTGTTTAATGACTAACAAGAAAGTCAAAGTATGTTTGATTTTTTTCAAAATAATTTTTTTTTAAAATTGAAATATAGTATAAATACGCTCTTATTTTTTCAAGAACAAACACAGTTAAAGTTGCTCTTATTAAAAAAAAAAAATTTTTTTTACTTTTTTCTTTTTTAAGATCAAGGGTTAAATATTCCAACTCAGACTTTTCAAGTTATTTTTTAAATATTTTATTGGTATCTAATGATTAGCTCTAAGGAATCCAAGAGTATGTATATGTGGGTAGAATATCATAATACTCTTTATCACTTTTTTGAAAAAAGAAAAAAGAAGAAGAAGAATTATATACGAACCACGCGAAAAATGAAAAAGCATGACCAATAAAACACCAAAATTACTACCTCCATGACAAATTGAGTTCAGTAGACTAGTCAGAATCTACTTCTCTAATATTTGTGAATGATTTGCAAGTGTCATGCTTGTGTTAAAAATTTATTATTTATTAAAATTTATTAAAAATTATAAAATTATAAGAAAAAATAAAAAATAAAAAAAGGGTGGCATTTAAATAATTTTGAAATAAATTTTAACTAGGAGTATATAAGAGATGCTTGTGTTAAAAGTTACTGAAAATGAAGAGTCTCACTTACTCATCTGTATCCAACCCTTTATTATTCATAGTGAAGAGATGCCACAATGCACAAAGGTAGTGTGCGAGGCACGTGACACCCTCACTTTTTTCTTCCTTCTTTTTTGGTCAACACCCAAATGTTATTTTCTTCCAAACAACTTCTGATCATGGGCCATAGTCGCCAATTTCCACTACAACAATTTGTTAACGTGTGCAAACATAATTCACCGTCCTTCTTAGGACCCTACCTAAAATATGAATTGGTGACGTCTGAACCAAATCATCAATTATGCCTCGCATTCATGATTATTATAACATAGTTCATAAAATATTCCATTTTGACCCATTTTTACCTACATGCAATTATGCCAATAATTTTCACTTTCTTGTGTACAAAAGTCTCCATGGACATGCTAACGAAATTAAATTTAAGGATTTTAAAAAATGATTGGACAGAATCATTAGCCTTGTTATTTAAAAAATTGTGTGAACTTGATTCACACAAAATATTATTTCAACAAAACCTACAGTTTCATTTTATTTTTTTCATCACTACCCCCTATGAATTTCAAGATTAGACCAAAAACATGATGCCCGTAACAGACAACGGTTGTCGCCAACAAAGGAAGAATGAATGATTAATAACACCATGCGCATTTTTAAAATATTTGATACAATGTAAACTTTAATCAATTAGTGTCACCAGCAAAGAGAAAACAAATAATTTGTATAGCCCACATTTTGGCAAATAAAATCATGCTCTTCCTCTGCTCACAATTCAATGCATTAGCTAATTGCAATGCTAGACATGGAACTTCCACAACTCAAACCAGCTCAAAGGCTTCTCACAACATTGTTCTTGTTCTTACTTGCTAGTTTGGGTGTCTCATTCCCTTCAGAGCCTCAAGGTAAGCTATTTAAATTTTATTTCTTATAGCGTGTTTAAATTCACATTCAAAAATATTTGGATCCACATTAACTTTAAGGCTACTGGTTGAAACTTTTGTATTGGATACACGTTTATAATATTTTTCAACGTGTTTCCAAACCAACACTTAAAGCCAAGGTTGAAACATGATGTTGAATTTTGATTGGTATAAACTAGCACCATTTACTGTGTAGGCAATAATAGGCAATGGCACATGACTTCAAATGTGAAGGAAATAGCAGGAAAGTCTTATGACTATATTATAGTTGGGGGAGGCACATGTGGTTGTCCATTAGCTGCTACACTATCAGAGAAATTCTCAGTGCTACTCATAGAAAGAGGTAGTTCCCCATATGGTAATCCCTTGGTGATAGATAGGAGATACTATGGCTTTCCATTTCTTAAAACAGACAAATACATGTCAGTGGCACAAAGTTTCACTTCACAAGATGGAGTTGGCAATGTGAGAGGAAGAGTTCTTGGAGGATCATCAGCTATAAATGGGGGCTTTTATAGTAGAGCAAGTGAGGAATTTGTTAGCAAAGTTGGTTGGGACAAGCATCTAGTCAAAGAAGCTTATGAATGGGTGGAATCAAAGGTTGTCTTCCCTCCTTTTTTTCTCTCACCATGGCAATCTGTTGCTGAATTCAGCCTCCTTGAAGCAGGAATTTTACCATACAATGGCTTCAGCTTGGAACATATCAAGGGAACCAAGATTTCTGGGAGTGTGTTTGATGCATTTGGAAAGAGGCACACCTCAGCGGACCTTTTGGATGCAGGGAATCCAAAGACCCTCACAGTCCTTCTGAATGCCACAGTAAAGAGTATCATCTTTCATTACAATAGTAAGTAAATAACTGTACAGGTTTGTTATCGTTAGTTCTTAGGTTAAATTTAAATATATAAAATAACTTATTTTTTTCTATAAATCTTTCTAATTTTTAAATAAAGAAAGTTTTAAATAATTTTTATGTTTTTAAGATATTAAAGAATTGGATGGATAACAACCCTAGCATTTTTCAGTCATTAATTCAGTACTGTCTTGAATTTTGACCACTCAAATGCCGTAGGTTACAAGAATGAAACCAGAGCTATGGGTGCAAGGTTCATACAAAGTAATGGCAGCTTGGATGACACCTATGAAGCTTACATCAAAAAGCTAAATAATTCAAGTTCAAGGGGTGATGTCATATTGTCAGCAGGTGCATTAGGTAGCCCCCAACTTCTGCTGCTAAGTGGCATAGGACCAAAAGAAGAACTGAGAAGGTTCAACATTCCACTAGTTCTTGACTTAAAAGGGGTTGGACAAGGAATGCAAGACAACCCTTGCATAGCAGTTTTGGTGGATTCTAAGCCACAGAATAGGCTTCCTGATCCACCACAAATTGCTGGCATAACAGATGACTTCAAAATCATAGTTGAAGCATCAATACTTCCCCTAAGTTCCAATGCATCAAGGGTTAATGTTGCTGCCAAGGTGGCAATGCCTACTTCAAAAGGAATGCTTGAACTGAATAACACAGACCCAAGGCTGAACCCTTCAGTGAGATTCAACTATCTAGCAAGTGAAAATGACATGGAAGAATGTGTCAAGATGACAAAACTACTTGATCGAATTGCTAGGTCAAAGTCTATAGCATTTTTCCTTGGCGAGTCACGGCAAGAAAAATTGACATCTACTGAGGTTGATCTGAGAAACTTTTGCAAGAAAAATGTGAGAACTATCTATCACTATCATGGGGGTTGTAGAGTTGGATCTGTTGTTGATGAGCACTACAAGGTTTATGGTATAAAGGGATTAAGAATATTAGATGGCTCAACTTTTTTAGAGTCACCAGGCACAAACCCCATGGCTACCCTTCTGATGCTAGGAAGATACCAAGGAATCAAGATTCTAAGAGAAAGGGAAGCAGTTTCTGGCTTAAACATCAAAGAAAAAATACAATAAGTTTCTTGATTACTTTTACATGTTGCACAAAATCAGTGTGTAAAAAGAATGTGGCAGCGCTTAGGAGCCTAACAGAATGTACCTTGGAAAATCACAATCCCACTTTTACAATGTAAAGTTGTTTCATTCCCCCTCATCCAACTTTTTGAATTAACTTCGAACTTCATGGATGCCTCCTCTTTCTTTAGTTAATACTTCAGAATGGTACAAATTTCTGACTTTTAACGATTTTAAATAAGTTTCAGCCACGATTGTGTTGCAAAGTTAAGGCCACCTTAATTGTAAATTTGTAATAACATCACAGTGAAAAGAAAAGGAAAGTGCTAGTTCAAAAAAAAATCATCATCATCTTATTTATTACCACAACATATGATAACAATTTCGTGCATTTCTGCCTGTACATACTTTCAGTCTCCCCCAAATTGAAAAAACAACATTTGACCCAAAAATATTATATATCTTCTCTAACTCTCTACCTCAGCGTCACCTTCGGGACTTGATGATAAAGAATCATTAGAATTACCAGGAGTATCATTTGGATCATCGCTGCTCCTACTCCTATTGAAAGAAAAACTAACCCAAACTTCACCCCCACCAACCCTCCTTCTCTCTCCCCCTTCTTCATCCCTCTTCTTCCCCTCATCAACAGGCATGTCATACCTACAAACAGGGCAAGAACCATGAATCCCCAACCACTTCTCAATGCAATTATGGTGAAACCTATGCTTACAAGGCATTTCTTTTACCACCCCACCAATCTCAAACTCTTCCAAACACACAATACACTCCAAACCCTCACTTTCTTCTCCAATTTCCACACTTGGCATGGCCTCTATCGATTCCTTTGAAGCCGGTGGTCGACCACTCTTCACACTCCCAAGCTCACGTAACAGAGCTTCAAGGCTTGAAGCTCCATCAATGACCACCATGCCCTGTGTAAAGGGGTTCACCAAGATTATTCTTTCACGCTGGGAACCATCAGTGCTCCCAGTTTCGTGATCTGGGTCTTCGTTGTTTCCCCTTGGGGAGGTCTCTGAGAGGCCAAAGAGAAAGGGCAAAAACAGAGTCATGTCTCTGTTTTGCACAAGCCTTTCAAAAACAGAGGAGAGATCGGCTACCTCTGGCTCAGAAGCCATCAACTCAGTTCAGAAGGATGAAAGAGAGTGATACTTTTTGTCAAAGAGAAAAAGGGTGGTTGATGATGGGGTTGAATTGAAGAGAATTATGGAATAATTTAGAGAATGAAAAGAGAGAGCGGTGAAGGGAGTGAATATAAGGGGTTGGAACAGAGAAGAGAGAAACGTGTGCGTGCGCCCACTGAAACAGAGAAAAAGGTGTGGAAGGATCTGGAACATTGTTTTGAAGGTGCATGTGTTGTGTTGTTGTGTCTCTGAAATGACCGTCCATGTTTATCTTCTAAATTTTCAATCACTATCTTATTCATCAAACAAAGATATTTAAGGCATTCATCGTATACCAATGTTCTCGTGTTAGTTATAGTAGGGCTCAGCATCTGTGGTTATGATCTCTCACTCTGTTCCTCACACAGTCATACTGTTTTTTCTTAATGCAATGATCTTCATGTTTTAATTAAAATTTTATATTAACATCCATTTGTAGAGTTAGGTTTAAGTAGATTTTATTTTGAAAAGACTATTTATTATATTTTTAATGTAATAAGTGTATTTTATTTTGATAAAAAAATTATTACTTTTAATTTTAGATGTTTAAACTTAATTTTAGGAATTATGGTTAATAAAATCTTCAATTAAATAATAATTCAATCTATATCAAAACAGGCTATTTATGTTGTTTTATTTGTGAAGTTTTTATTCATGTAAACTCATTCTTAGAACAATAAGTTTGTTAATATCCAGATAATTTTGTTAAGATGAATTTGTTGATAATTTAACTATTATAAAAAAATTTAAAATATTAATATATTTTTATATCAACCTATAGTATATTATATAATAAAAAATTATTTTGAATTGATGATTTTACAATATTGATTAGCAAGGCTTATAACTAGGGAAAAAATTAATATTTTCATTTATATCATTTGATTTATTTATTCTAACTTTGGACAGCTGGGTGGCAAATCGTACTAACTATGTTGAAAATTTTTTGTTGTGATTGTGATGTAAATAAACGAATAGGCATACGACTAATCTGCTTAGTATATTATAAAAAGAAATCTCTGGCTGCAATTGATTAATTCAATATTCGTTTTTGCTTACATACTATGAAATCTAGTTTTGTCCAGAAGCTACGATTATTAGGTACACTCAATCGTTTTAATGTTAAAAGATATTTATTTCGATTCTCAACACAGATTCCGATAATTAAAAATTAGAAATTGTTTAAAAGTTGTTAATTGCCTAAATGGCTAAATTTGTCAGATGCATGATTTAATTAAATGTTTATCGAATAAACTTATTTATATTATAAATTTATTACAAAATAATTTATTTTAATAAACTATACTAAATATCTATTAAAATAAACTAAAATAACTTATTAAAGTTTTAAAATATATTTAATTTATTCATAAACTCTTTTAAATAAGTTTTATCAATTTTAAATTACTTCTTTTTTACCCTTTTTTTATTGAGGCTTTTCCTTTCCTCTATTCTTTTTGGATATCTATTCACTGCAAATCGTTGGGACATTTTTTTAATATCTATTTACTTCAAAATCATTAGTGGGAATTATTAGTATAATGACACAAATTGCAATGCCATAGGCAAATCATTGTTAGCTCAGTTTATTATTCACAAAAATGTTGACAACTACAACCTGAATTATGGAGAATGCCTATGAATTCCTTACTTTGGTGGGTACACAAAATTTCCAACTTCTGTACTCTATAACTTACCCACATAATAACCCCTTGACCAGTTGTAACACTTTCCTCTCTGTCATTTCACTTCTAGAAATACTAATTTTCTGTCATTTCAAGACTCAATTGAAATTACCAACATAATATTCCCACCATAGCTTGTCTTTCCTTCAATGCCAAACCGAATTGAACAGCAGTTGCACCTTTATGGAATATACACACACCAACTGTTTGTTAAAATTCCTATAAGAAACTCATTATTGATTATGTATTTGTAACTCAAGTTTTGGGGCTTTTTGCAGTTTACACAATATGGCTCAAGTGAATGCTCCAGCACTACAGTTTAAGAATTCCTGTGTCTTTGGAATCCATCCAAAATCGTTTATTTGCTTTCAGACACGGAGTAGAAGTAAGTTCAGCACAACTTAATCATGCCCAAGCATTTTGTGCTATGTGTTTGAGATTTTAGTCTCTTACCCAGTCCAGTGCATTATGTTAGCATCTATGGAATTTGAATACCAGCAATATGGTTACTTAATTAGTTTCATAATGTCTATGTATACGTAGATATGATGTTGAATTTGACTTTTGATGTTGATCACCTTTAACTTTGAATTTTCTTACAGGTTTAACCAAGAAACCATTTGTGATTGAAGCTAGAGCAAATGCTAGAAAAGAAAGTGCAAAAATTCGGAACAGAAGGATGCAGAAAAAGGTGCATCTGTCTTATCTTCAACTTACTATACACTGTTATATCTATTGTAGCCAAATCCCTGTATCTTTTCAATGATTAAGGTGTTCAACAGTCATATTTTATATTTCCACCATATGGTCTACATGTATGCCATGCCATTTAATTTATTCCATGTACCCATTAGTAAAACATGTCATCACTTTTTTCATAGCTAGCTGCTGATTTCAGTAAATTCATTCTGTGAACTGTGTTTTTTTTCCGACGAGTCCAATGCAGCATTGATGAAGTTAACGTTTTTGGGTTCCTTCAGTTATATGGTCTACATGTATGCCATGCCATTTAATTTATTCCATGTACCCATTAGTAAAACATGTCATCACTTTTTTCATAGCTAGCTGCTGATTTCAGTAAATTCATTTTGTGAACTGTTTTTTTTTTTCCGACGAGTCCAATGCAGCATTGATAAAGTTAACGTTTTTTAGTTCCTTCAGATATGGCACTCCACTACTAACTGCCAAGTACCGAGTTTTTCCCCATCTGCTGTTAATTCCGTGATTTTATCCTTGTTTTTCCTTTCAGTATAATGGAACAGCTACACATCCTAGGCTTTCAGTATTCTGCTCCGACAAGCAATTATATGCAATGCTTGTAGATGACAAAAATAAGAAGTGTTTGTTCTATGGAAGTACACTGCAGAAATCATTCCGACAAAATCCTCCCTGTAGCACTGTTGTAAGTAGTCCACTTAATCTTACAGAAAAATATTGCATGAAACAAGGATTGCAACTTTTTCCATTTCTTTTTTTGGTCTCGTTATGCTTTTGGATTTGGATTTGGATTTGGATTTTTTGTGTTTTGGCATGACATGACTTTAGGAAGCTGCTCAACGTGTTGGGGAGGGACTTGTCAAAGCTTGTGTTGATCTCAACATAAATGAAATATCATCCTATGATCGCAATGGCCTTGGTCGTGGAGAAAAGTTACAAGCCTTTGAGATTGCCATTTCCAGTTATGGATTCTTGCCAAGATAGGTCTGCAACTGATACCGCTTCTATTTTGTCAAACACATATGAAACACTCCAATGTTGAAGTCAATCTTATTAGGGTAGGACATGCATGATCACTTTTCTAGAATAGCAGGTTGAAAACTTGTGTGATTGATCATTACTATAAGATAAACTTAGATACATCAGATACACTTTTGTTTCATAATAATATATTGACATTTCATTTTCTTTGGATAATATATGCTGATTCTCGTCTGGACATACACTGCCAAGAGCAGTTATCCGTTCTACACCAATGAATGCTTATATGGTAGGTTTATTGTTTGAACATATATTGTGGAGCAACTTTGTTACTTATTTCATGTTTCTTTATCTAACTCGAATAGGATTATTTCTTGTGGGGGATATTTTGTGTTATTGAACTAAAAAAAATTGGTATTCCCTTCTTTGCTCAAAAAATGTGTGCTAATACACACAGGATGTTATTATGTTGGTGCTAAACCGACAGAATACTCGTGGTTAAATGAAAGCCATAATGTTCAATTAAAAGAACAAAAAAATAGTGAAAAATATATTTACTGTCATTGACTATCACTTTTACTTAATACATAATATAATAACAATTACTTTAAGTGTGTATTATTTAATTCTCTTAATTTAAAAATAAAAAATACCTCATTCTCTTTAAAATTTTCCTCCCAAACCCCTGATGTTTATAGTTCAACTTCCAACGATCATGTGGCATTTTGTTCCAATACGGAATGGTTTTGGTTTAATATATATATATATATATATATATATGACGGATGCTCGATGTTATCCATGAGATGAATATTTGTTAATTGTTAGAAATAACAATATTTTGTATATCTTTTCGATTCAAATAGAACAAAAAGAACTTTGCAAGACGAGACTTTCAATAAAATGTATAGAATATCCAAGTCATACCATAAAAAAAATTGAGGTTTCTTTCTACAATGTCGTTTAACCAATCAAAAAATTGATCAGGGCAAGAAAATATGGTCACCTATTTCTGATTGGCGGCTCTATACAAATCTCTCCCCTCTACGTAGAACAATCATCAGATTTACTTGAACGAAATTATGACTACAAATATGCCCTACTATTAACTATTTCTAATAATTTCTAGCTAAGCTAACTATTCTAATCATTATACAAGCTCCCCAGCAATTCAAAAGGGGGATTTTTTTTATCAGATGCCGTAGCCTGGTCAGTCGGTAATCATCTCCTATCACCACAGCATTTGGCACCTTTTCCTTCTTGAAGTTTCTGCCACAAACAGAGCAATTCCCTAGGACCTTGGTAATGGGCAACCACATAACCATCCTTGCAACCCTCATTATAGACTCTGGCTTCATTCTCATACCGAACTTCTAGACCTTGCTTCTTCATGTCGGCGATCCAGATTCCCATTGCAACGTCTTCTAATTTAAACATCTGCCAAACAGTGTTAAAATTGACTCATTGAGTGTTCACATATCTCACCAATGCGTTTGTACAAAACATATTTAGAGTCCACTTGCAAATTTTTATTCAACAAGTAACGGATTTTTTTTATTATATACCTTCAAATTGTTCTCTCTGTATTTCTTGTATACCATGCTTGCTATATCGCGTGAAACCACATAGCCAGGACCATGTGCCCAAGGAGGATAAGTTCCTTCGCTCCATTCCTTTAATAGGCAATAATCATTGGTTAGTTCAAATTAGACAAGACAACAAAAACAATAGACAAACGAAAAGGACAAAGCAAAGAAATCGACAACTTTAACACCGAATAGCTAAATTTTTTTTAAAAAAAAAACAAACAAACTGGGAAGAGCACATAGAACTTCCAGATCTCCAGTAGCATAGCAAGCAGTAATTCTGTCCGGTTTCAAGTTACTATCTTTTTCACCTGAGTTTCTGATAGTGTAACCCGGAATACAGGTTACCATTTTCTCATGAACAAGCATACGATAACTGGCATAAATGCATATATCCATGGCTCATGACTGATTGACTGAATAATCAAGTTTCAATCCTTCCATGGGAAATTATATCCATCATAAATTATTTAGTTCGTGATGAATGGAGTATTTACTTGCATACAGACCAATACATTCAACCTAGATCTATTTACAAGCAAGCCTTATAAGGCCGCATATAGCATAAGCTTGTAATGATTATTTTCTAGTTAAATTTATCTGAAATAAAACTATAATCAGAAACTAATAATATAAACAACACATGGAACAAAAAATATTTAAATCTTAAATAAGGGGATATCTCTACCTCAGGGCTGATGTACCATTTGCTATCTGTATTTCGATGAGGTCGGGAATCTGAATTGATGAGTCCATACAGTAACCCATGAGCCAAGTTGATCCTATTTAGAGAGCCTAGAACTTCATCTACACGAACAAATGCATCATCATCTGTCTTCATGACAAAATTTGCTGAAACAACTTGTGTCTGTCAAAGAGATAGTGTCAATGAGGCAGAGGAAAGATTCTCCATGTCAAGAGTAAAGACAAGACATTACCCCAAAAATGCAGATTGCTAAGGATTTCCAAGTGATGAGGCTGTAGTAGTCAACAAATGGCATCAGCTGTATGTCTCCATAAGTTTGTGCTTCTTTCCACAACTCTTCATTAACTATTGGGCTTTTATGCTGCATCAGCTCAAACAAAAAACCTAATTCAGCAAAAATCTACATGTAACACAAGTAACAGACTTTCAAAAGGTAGCAAAATATCATGTTCATCTTGATCTTAATCAGAATGAAAAGGCTATAATGTAGAGATACTGAAAACAAATGCTTTAACAGAAGTAAATATTTATGCAACTTTTGCTTATCAATGAAATGAGATAAGTTAAAATTTTGATGACTACCAGTTTATGAAAAGATAAAGAAATCTTAATTGTATATTATGATTAATTAAGTGATTTTTCTACAATTCTACTAATAAATAGAATGATATGAGAAAACCACAAATACCCACCAAACCAACAAAGAAGCGCACAGCTGTCATATTAGATCGAACTGCATTGTACTGCATCCAGGTTCTTCTAACAGCCATCCGGCGCTTGAAATTGTTAGCAGTAGAGAAAACACCAATGAAGAGATCCAATGGAGTCTGTGCAGATATAGGGCTCGATTTCAATGATTCAAGATCAATAATATGCTCTGAATCCTCTGATGTAGGCAGACCACTGGCAAGAATAGATATCAATTTGAGGTCCCCAGATATTTTTATTTCACTGACAAGCCATGGCTCCAAGGTCTGACATATAACCAGCAAAGTCAGTCAACAATATTAAAATATCAAAGTATTGGCTTAATTGCATTTTTAGTCATTTTAGTTTAAGACTAAGTACAAATTTAGTCCGCTACTTTTGTCAACCCAATTAAGTTTTTCTACTTTTAAATTAAGTAAATTAGGTCCCTCCATTGTTTCTATATTATTATTTTCTACCTAAATATTTAAGGCATTTATGATAGGTTTATTATATCATATAATTTTAAATGTTTAGAAGTCAAAATTTCATTAGACTTTAGGGATTTTATAAGATGAGAGATTAGAGTTTCAAAGAGAAAAAATTTGATTTTTTTTTTATCTTGGCTGAAATTCAATGTTTTGATTGGTAAAATTTTGAGCAAAAGAGAGGGTTTAAAACAATTCAACCAATTCAGTTTGTAAAATATGAGCAAAATAATGAGAATTTGAGAGTATTAGGTAAAAGAAAATTGATAAAAGGACCAAATTTGCTAAATTTTGAGAGCAGAGAAACTTAAGTAACTCAAAAAAAAAAAAAAAAAACCTAAGCAATCAAAATTAAACATAATCCAAATTAAAGGAACCAAAAATGTCATTAAGCCAAAAGTATTCAACAAAACCAAGAGAGAAACAAAGTACTTCACGAAAAGCAAACGAGGTTATGTGCTTTCCATCAACTGTCATTTGGATTCCCTCAGTTCCCACTCTAAGAGTTGCAACAAATGGGTAGCCTTGCTTAAAAGGAAAGTATTTCCTATTTATTGATTGTTCATCTGTTGCTGAAGATCGTCTTGAAGTGTGGGAATACATGCTGGCTGTGTGAAGTTGGCTACTGTTCTTCCCTACAATCTTATTACACTGCTCCAACTCATCAACTGGAAAAAGAAAATGCTAAATATTAAACAAAGGAGGACAAAGTAGCACTGCAAAAGCAGGTAATAGAATTATGTACAACTTCTGGATCAGAAGAAACACACACATAAAAAGATTTAGCTCTACAATTTAATAGAATAGGAAAAGATATAAAATATCTTTTAACAAACAACTGATTTTCATGAGGATAGGAGCTGCATCTATTCTAGAACATCAATAGCATATGAAAACTAAACACAAGTCTCATTGATTCAAGAATTCGATATTGTTAACTCTATTATAGAACAAACTCTTCAGTAGTCATTGGGTTCAAAATTTTACCACATTTGATTTCAGAGTTGTACAATGAAATTCAATATCAATTATGATGAACACAAATTCCTACGGATGTTGAACCAAATAATAAGAATATAATTTTTCACCTTTTTCCTTTTCAGAATTAGGAGATGGACACCGTTCCTCTTCACCCCAATCATGAGCTATAGTCCAGGTGTTTTGGACAATTACTGGATCTTCAGTGACTTTATCACCATGAAGCCTAACATTATAGTGTAAAATAATTGGAGGATCGGGCTCCCCAGGAAGTGGTTCACCAGTCAAGTCAATCCGAAAATTACCTAGAAGACCATTTGGAATGCCAATTACAGTGATGGAAGAACCCTGTGTCAGGCCACAAGGTACTTGCAGTTTGTAACTACTATTACCAAGTTCAGTGGAATTCATTTTATTAAGAAAATGGGGACACTGCTTCTCTTTAGTTCTTGAACTATCATTTGCATGACCTTGTCTTTGCTCTTCAATTGAAGAAATAAGACTATTCCATGCACCAGCAGCCTCCTTGATAGCTTCTGCTGCATTAGGTAGACCCTGAGCATGATCTATTAAGTGTTTCAATTGGTTCCATGTCTGAAGAGCTTGGATCTCTTCTTTGGAAAAGTTACTCCCAGCAAAGAGGCTAGACACAAGAATATCAGAAGAAATAACTTGAGAATGAACATCTGGATTTTGAATAGCAGGCGGAACCACGGGATTTATCCATTCTAGAGGATTAGTACCATTAATGAGGACAGGTATAGTCAAATAACCTTCACTAATAGGATTTTTCATGACCCCATATCGCAGGATCATAAGCATAAACAACATAAACAGTGAAGTGATCAGAACTCCTCCATACAATTTATTCATTTTGATGATCCTATGAATGAAGCAGTAGTCCTGAATCTTCACAGTACTTGATCATAAGGATGCCAAACAACTACAAAATTGATAGGTGTCTTCATATAACTCCTTGCTTAATTATGGAGCGAAAATAGGCAGAAGCAAATAAGGAATGCAGATAGTATAAGTTCTTCTCATCAGATTCTAAGAAACAACCATAGGAAACTTTCACTGAATAGTAGGGCAAGATTCACGTCTTTCTTTTAGTCGGCTATGTGACTGATAATCAGATATTAAGTATCAACTATAAGCCCTTGGAAGCATGTTCTTGATGCCAAGATATCCACCACAAGAATTATTTGGAAAGCATATGAGATTTAGCTAGCATGCTGGACCTGTAATTAGACCAATACAAAACTATCTTTAGAGACTTTAGTCGATGGCATGAAACAACTCAAACACAATGCTCCGTCAATGACTAATGCAAACCAAAGCAAATTCTCACTTGAAGAAAATTAACACCTTTAAATTAGGAAACTGATGCTTACAATAGAAAACAAACACCACATACAGGATTATCAAAAAAAAAAAAACACCACATACAGGTACTGTAATAGTTTAAAAAACATCTAAATGTAAAATTTTGAGAGAGCGAACCCTGTACGATGTAGTACATATGACATCAGTTACATGAAGCCAATCAACAATAACTAAATTCAAACATCACCCCAATAATGGTTGAATTTGTAGACCAACATGAAGTAATATGGATCACAGCCACATTTTTCTTTGCAACACAAACTTCAGACTTATCACAGCTACAGGTATTCCTTTCCTAGTATCACCTAAGGAAAATATTTTTCAAATTCCCTATTAGCGTTCTATTGAAGAAAAAGCTTCCACTTCGAATAAAGTAATGTAGCAATAAATTAGAGTTTACCGGTCAATGCCCTCCCTGGCAAACAACTACCATCAGGTCACCATAGCAATAGAATATTTGGTATTTAAAAAAAATAAGTCTATTCGCATTATAATCGCTATCGAAAATTATAATCAGGAGAAAACAAGTAAAAATCAAAACACTAAACGGTTTACTAACAGTATAATAACGGGAAAAAAATAGAAATTCCATTGAAATCGCAAAGCATGCATTAATTAAAATTAAATAACCAAAAACCGGATGGCTCCTCCAATCTTCTATTTCAATAAATTTAAACTCAGATCTTACTCTATCCACCTTTTCGCTTTACATTAAGTAAAAGTCAAATCTGCTTCAATAACTTAAACGACAAAAAAAATTTAAAAATAAGAAAAATCTAAAAAAGCAAAGAGCACCGTAAACGCGTTGGGGTTTGAAGTTCTTTCTCAAGTCGTAGCTCTCCAAATCAAATGCCGCAAAAGAAGAACCGTGCATCATAACCAAAATTGCAAGAACAAAAAAATTATCACAACCTTCAAAATCAAAATTACGAACAACAACTAACACTAAAATCAAAATATAAAAAATAAAACAGTAATTTCAAAACGAATTCTACAGCATAGCATCCGAGTGCGAAGCAAGCAAAAACAGCATCACACAGATCGAACGGCACCGGAAATCGACAAGGAATATCGGACAGAAATAGCGACAACAGAAACAACAAAGGCGGAAAAGAGCACAGAGAGAGTGAAAAGCAAGGAGAATCGCAATGTTGTGACGGTGGAGTGAAGGAGAGTGAAGTCAGTTTACCTGGGGAGATTTTCTCGAGAAAATGGCGGAAAATGCAGAGCGAGGAAGAAAGAAAGAGAGGAGCGAGAAGATATTGAGAGATTTGATGACTTTTATCCAAGTTTCTATGTTTGAAGTTTGAAGTTTATTTGTTTCTTCTTTTTTGTCTTCGTCTTCTCCGTGTGAGAGTGAGAGGTTCCTTATTCTACTTAATAGTATGGTAGAGTTTGACAGAGAATAAAAAGAAATAAAAAAAAGCAATTTAAAAAAAGAGAAAGATAAAGAAAAGTAAAAACACCCCATACCCTTTGCTACCGTGTTCTACGGTGTAATTAGATTTTTGGATCCTTGCGGAAGGGTGAATCTGTAAATTAATATGCATGCAAAAATGCTAACTAGTTAGACACTGCCCTTAAAAGAGCAGTTAACACGATCGTGGTGTTTTTTTAGCACAGTTGAAAAATTAGAAATAAAATATGTGTTAAATTGAATTAAAATTTATGAAAAAATTTAATTTTGGTATTTTATTTAAATTTTATTACTTTATTTTTTTAAGAAACCGATTAATATTTGTCATAGAAAGATAGATAACTAAAATGATTTTTAATGCATTTAATTTGTTTAAAATTAATATGTTATTAATATTGCATTATTGCATTGATCAATCAATACAAAAGCTTTCTATTAAAAAAGAAACAAATAACACAATTGGATAAGTTTTTTTTTTTAATTTCTATTTTAGTATGATAAATTGTGTTGATAAATTTCAATCATTTAATTTAATTAAAATTTAATAAATGGATAAATTTTTAAAAACAAATTCTAAAATTTCTTTTTATTCCTTTCTGATTTCCATTTTATTCTTTCTGCTTTTCTTTTTTCACTTTCTAAGTTAAACATTTATCTATCTAAAATGTTTTTCAATTAGAACAAGATTCTTAATTATTTCTAATTAAAGTATTTTTCTTTTATATTCTTCTTAACTTCTAAAATTTTACTTAAAATGTTATTTCATTTTTTAAAAGAGAAAAAATCACATTAAATTAAAATTAATATATTAGAGTATTATTTTAACCTTTACTTTGGAAGTAAAGTGATAAATTATGGGTATAAAAGTTTTTGCAAAAAATATTTTGTAATTAACGTTAAGAAATTCAATCATATGAAAGTTCTTTATTTTTTAATGATTAAATATATTTTTTATAAAAATTAACTCGTCTTATTTTAATCCATTAATTAATTTTTAAATACATTGAATAGTTAAGATTTATCAACGTATGGATAGTATCAGTCAAAATTTTTAATTATGAATATAAATTTTCTCTTAAGAAAAATCTTAAAGATAGTATCAGCCAAAACTCTTCTTTTTATAGAAAAATATAACTATTATGTGGAATTATTTTTATAAAGGCCTTGGCTGGATCATTGGTAATGGAATGACTATCAAGTTATGGCAAGACAGTTAACTTAGTGATAGCCAATCACTATCTTGTATAGCTATCTAGCCTATTCCTGGTAATATATTTCATGACCCTTTTGCAGTGTTTTTCTTCCATGATAACTGGGATTGGGATAAAGGGCTTTTATTCCCATATTTAGTTGTGACCTTATTGCTAATATTAATCCTCCCTCCCTTGCTAAGGGCCAAGACTAGGTTTGCTGGAAGCAAACCATTAATGGAATTCTTTTCCTTAAAATCAATCTATACGATCATAATGAATTTTGATTAGTCTACTAATTCTCAGAATTCCATCTTTGACATGGTTTGGAAGTGGGAGAGTCCTCCTAGAATTACTACGTTTTTATGAAAAATTACCCATGACAAGCTCATGACTAATGAGTAAAGATTCCACTACAATATGATTGATTCTCTCATTTGTTTAAGTTATCAATAGGCTCTTGAAACAATATCTCATGTTCTCAAAGATTGTTGGGTTGCTAATAGTATATGGAGTTGAATCCTCTCTCCTGATAAGTGGGCTACGTTCTTTAGTTTGGGATTGTCTAATTGGCTGGAGTTCACTCTATCCAAAAATCAATTTTCCCTATACCCTCCATGGAATAAAGTTTTTGGAGTTGTCATTTGGAACCTTTGGTGTAACAGAAATAAGGCTATTTTCCAAGACAAGCCTTTAAATAGTAAAGATTTGTTTAACAAAAATTTGTCTAGTATTGATTATTTTTTTCTGTTTTGCAGGTCTGAATCATGGTTTTTGGCTAATGGTGGTGACTTTGCTTGTATGGTGAAGTGGCAGCCTCGCTTGAAGAATCAGTTTAAGCTAAACATTGATGGGGTTGTGTCTCGGGGATAAAGATCTTGCTAGTTGTGGTGGTCGGATTAGAAATAATAAAGAAATTTTTTTGTTTGGCTTTCACAAGACTCTGGATTTCTGTCATCCTATAAAAGCAGAACTTTTGAGATATTTTTGGAGTTTACAACTAGTCATAGCTAAGAAGATCCAAGTAGTTTGGATAAAATGTGACTTAAAAGAGACTATTTCTTTAGTAATTAATATAAAAAAAATACCCATCCCTTATTCTCTATTATTAATTATATTTGGGATCTCATTAAAAAAATCAAATTTGTTAAAATTAACTATATTTTTAGAGAAATAAACCAGAATGCTGATTAATTAGCTAAATTAACCCTTAATTTTAATTTATTTTTTATTATTTTTTATAGGACTCTTTCTTTCTTTAAACCTTTTTTACAGTTGAATTTTTTAGGTACTTTAAAATCTAAATTTAGTATCTAGTTTATTTTATTTTTAAACTTTTATCCTATTTTATATAAAATAAAAAAGATTTATCAACGTGACATGTTACGTTAAAATTTAGAAAAAAAAATGAGGATAAATTTTCACACTAAAATAATCTATATGTAAGGATCACATACATATAGAATAATCTATATGTGACCGCGTAAGTGGATTTGAAAAGAAAAAAAAATGGTAGCGGACGAGAATGACCGGCAGAAGAGGAAAGGTCAAACTCACCCTTTTATAAACTATTTTATTTTATTTTTCTTTGTTTCTGACCTGGTCCCAATTCCCAAACACCCCTTTCTTTGTCGGTTTATCCTTTTTTCCAATTAATGAAGCTCTAATTCAGCGTTACTATTCAGGTCATTGCTTAAAATTCTATATCTACATAACTATAAATCATTTGTTTTATATATCTAATTCAAGATTAATCTTTCTAAGATCATGATGACTTGATCTTAAAGACATTAATGAAGAAATTAATAAATAAAATATTTTTATTAAAAATTACAATTAAAACATTTTTATCACAAATGAAGCTTAAATTGTATTTTTGTTGTACTTGCATTCCCAATAACCAATTAATAACTACGGAAAAGACCCAATTACATGTTAAAATCTTAATGAAGAAGGTGATGATATAAAATTAACTAAACGTGGTCTTCAAAAAATAATACTATTTAACGTTAAACATGTCGTACTAATATATCGCGAGTTGGCAATGATAGATGGGTGTTGTACATTGACTGTGCCCCCTATTATTTTTATTTTTCACTTCGACATAGAAATTATATATATATATATAGAAGCAGATTCGAATTATTTATTTATTTATTTATTCAGGCTAGGGCCGGCACGTGGCATAATTACTGAAATGCCCTTGATGCACTTGTCTTCATTACAAAGCGAGAAAGCGTTCTAAGGTGGAACGTAACTTTCGCGACCGGCCAACAGTCACTCATTTTCTTGAGATGAAAGATGAAAAATGGGAGACATTATAAGTTATAACCAAACACAATGAATACTTATTTTTCTTTTGGTTCATTTTTATATTGAGTTAGGCGACTTAAATTGTTGGTAGCTTTCATCATTGTATATGTGTATGGATCGATGGTTTCATGAGAAGCCAAGCATTGTCTTTGTAATTGACGTCTCACCTAAGAACGACAGTGTTGGAGCAAACACAAACGGGTACGGTGCCCTTCATAGGTGGTTGTGAATGAAAGATTCTTAGAGGGGATCATTCATGTATTATTGCCAAGTTGCCCCACCTTTACTTTGTCATTTCGTTTGTAATTCTGTGAACAAAATTTGGCCTTTTGAATGCTGTTTCTAGGAGATGATATAGCTTTCGGAGTTCTTCAAACACTTACTTCTGAAATATGGGTTAATCATCTTGATGCGATTATTCCAATTTCTTTTATTTCAATTCCATTAACATTTTTAACAACCCATCATTCATATATATAGCATGATGAAAGACATATTACATTAGGCAAAGTTAACTTACTAAAATGGATTAGGGCAAGACTTTTTTAGAAGTTTATTTAGTTAATAAAAAAAATTAAATTTAAGTCATTTAAAATATCTTTAAAACTTAATATACCAACCTGTAAATTTAAGTTTATTATTATTATTATAGTATTAAGAGTGCGTTTAGATAATTAATTATATAATTATTTAATAAATTCTTATTATATATACATTTATATCACAAATTTGAGCATTACATTTATTAAAATAAGTTAAAAATAACATATAAAAGTTATACATTATTTATACTTATCATTTTTAAGGGCTTTGCCATTTATCTATTATAATGAAATTTTTTTTTTACTTATTTAAAAAGAGTTATTATAAAATAAAGTCTTAAATAACCCCCATTGGATTTAAATAAAGTAATTGATATGGACCCCTCATCTTTGAAAGAAAAGGGAGGGAAACGAGGTGGCGGAAAAGTTTCTCACCTGTGATACGTGCCCCCATTCGTCAGATAACATTATTCTCGGAGGAAAATAAACTATACTCATTTTTTCCTTGTAAGTTTTATAGTTGTAATTCTTTAACAGTGAGAATCAACATTTTATCTTCACAATTTGTATCAATTTAACTATCAAGAAGATAGCGACAATTATGAAGATAAAATATTGATTTTTATTAGAAAATAAAATGAACCATACTTATATGTAAAGTTCTGCGAGAATTAAACTGAGAATCAGATAGAAATAACTAATTAACAATGCTGTGACCACTTATTACAAGGCACAAATGGCTTCATAGTCATCGTGTGAAAGTTTCTAATCAGTACCCAAAAGAAAAACAAAAGCATGTTCTGATGAACTAAAACTTGGGGAATTGAATTTGTGAACCACATTTGCTCTTTGGAAGCACAGGGCACTCAATGAAATTTGAGCCAGAAGTGTCCACGCACATGTAAACTTGGTAAAGTTGGCTATTACCAGCTGAATCCCTGTTACATTCTATACCTGGGGTAAACCCAGTACCCTCTTTTATACCATCTGAAATGCTCTCTTGGCTGTAAAATCCATCATCTGGTTCAATCCCTGAAATTCATTTTTTTTCCTATTTTAATGGTTGCTACTTGGTATTAACTCAGCTATTTTGCTTCTAAAAGTAATGTATTTGTCTATCATTTTAAAATGTTAAGATAATATTGATTATTATTTTTACTGTTTAACTTGGAAGAGAAACAATAATATATTAAATATTGAAGTTCTAATATTAAGATAAGTGTTGTTGCATACCTGCATTCTTGAGGCTAGGAAGGAGGTTTGCTTTTTGCTTGAGTTTGAGAGCTGCTTCAAAGTACTCATGCTGATCAAGCTCAGATTCCGCACACGTGCCATGTTTTTCCCATTCGTGTGACCAGAACCTCATGCCATTGCTACTTGGGCAGCTCAGAGATGGCCAATTCTTCTCCATGCTGCTAATGATGTCTGAGAGCTGTACCAAATATGCCTCATTAATATCTCACTAGATAATAAATACACTGAGTTATGATTATTGATTGTATATTTCTTCTTCCTTATCTTTTTTCTATACATAAAAAATGAACTATATTTTATTTTATTACTTCAGGAAAAATGTAATCCATAGTTCAACTGCTTCAACTTTAAGTATATCAAGAAAATCAATGAGATGTCTCTACGTATTTGATTTCTATGATCCGATCTCATTAATTATGTAAAGTCAACTACATATGAATCTCTTCTTCCAACATCAATATATATGAATCTTCCAGTTATATTAAATTGTAAAAATGAGTTAAACCATATGCTTTCACCCTACTTAACGCACTATATAGTTCTTTTTTTAAAGTTTTATAGTTAATGAGTTTATTTCCTCTTCCATCTTAATATAAAAAAATTGACAGATTAGGATTAGGATTAAGAGTGAGTTAGTCCAACTAATTTAGAAATAATTAATAACTATTATATCATTTTTTCATAATATTTATTAAATTATTTTAATTAAATAAATTAAAAAAATATATTTTAAATATAAAAAATGTTTTTAGAAAATATTTATTTAATATATTAAATTTTTATCATAAAAATATTAAATATAATTATATGAAAAATATTATAAATAAAATTAAATTTAGCTTTTATATTTGTTTAATTTTTTTAATTAAATTTAATATAGTATGTTAATAATTTAAAATTTTAATTAAAAATTAGTAATAAATATTTTAATTGTATAATTATTAAATAATAAAATCATATTTTATAAAATAGTTGTTAAATCAACATAACTAATTTAAATAAAAATGAACGGACAACTATTAACTTTTAATGATTATTTTATTAAATTTAATCAATTCTAGCGTTTTTTTATTTTTATTAAATTTTAATAATTATAGATTTATTGTAATTTAAATTTACACATGATATCATTATTTTTAATATAAATACAAATATGTTAATTTTAAATGATTATTTTTAATAAATTTTATATAAATATATCGATATAGATAGATTGTTTATTAAAAAATAAAAAAATATAGTTTTTAATATATATTTAAAATTTAATAATTAATAAATATTTATATAAATTAACAAATAAAATTATAAATTAAAATTTAATTATTAATTAATTTATCAATTTTATATAATATATATGTATTTTAATTTACCATATAAATAATATTTTATGTTATATTAATGTCATAATATATTTAATTTTATTTATATTTGTTAATTTAAAATAATAAATTAATAAAATAAAATAAAATAAAATATTTTATAATTATTACATATTTTAATTTAACTATTATATATATATATTGAGTTTAAAATTTTATTATAAAATTTTTATTAAAATAAAAATTTAGAAATACGAATTATTTTAATTTAATTTTTTTATTAAATTAAGATGAGTTAAAAAGTTAAATTTATAAATATTTATTAATTTTTATTACGTTTGTAAATTATATTTTTATATTTATGAATTTTGTAATAAAGTATTTTATGTTTATAATTTTTATGATGATAATATTTTTTTTTTTTTTGATATATTAAATTTTATTTAATTGACTTAACAGATTTTTTTAATGTTATTTTTTATTATCAATTTTACGTGTTTGTTATAATTTTATTTATTGAATATAAAATATCTTTATATAAACTTAAAAAAATTGAAATATTTAATATTTTAATAATATAAAAATTTATAATATAAAAAATTTTATAGTTAAATCTTACATAATATTTTAAAAAATTATTTATAAAATTATATAAAAATTATTATTATTATTTAATAATTATCAATAATAAAGATAAAAATTAAAAATATGTAAAATAATTTGATAATAAATAATTATATTTTTATTAATATTATTTAATAGCAACCATCATTATAAATATTTAATATTAGTCAAATTTAATTTTTTTTATCTTCTTTTGAAATCATTTTATTAGTCTACAAATTTATGGTAAAAATATTATATAAAATAAATATTTTTATTAAATTATTTTATAAGATAGTATATGATTATTTTATAAAAATATAAATTAGAATAATATTTTAAAAAATAATTAGCTCATAAATTAACCTTACCCTATTTAATTTTATAATTTTTGTAGTTTTATAAGTACAATGAACTTTTTAACTTTAATCTACATGTCTTAGAGTTAAATTAGTTAAAATAGACCTATTTGATACCTCTAATTAATTATAACTGAATTGTTGCAATAGTTATTAGAATTAATTAAAGCAAGTTAAAGTTTTTACTCTGTAAATAAAAGTGGCATCTTTTACTTTTTTTTGTATAATAATTGTTTTCAACTTAAAATCATGAGCTACTTTACCTCATTTTTTTTCCTTGAGATATATGATTGAGTTCACTAAATAAGTATCGATCACTTGCATCACACATCAAAGTTCTAATAATTTTATTTATGTTTCTGGGTGGTGGTGGCAAAATTTCAAATTATGTATATATGTGATAAATTTAAGAAGATTAAGAGAACTGATGAATTGATCTCAAGACATAATATATGATTAGAAACACATTACAAAATTAATAAACGTGAATCTGTCGCAAAAATAAACGTTGATTCATAAGTATTTTTACACAAAACCAAACATGTTAATAGAAACACTAAAAAATGAGTATCTGAGGTATTTTCAGATTATTTTCGCCAAACACAGTGCTTCCCACTGCAAAAAAAATTTTTCACCAATAACTAGACTTATCTTGGTTGGTACATAACGTGCAAACAATTAATAAAATTGAGGTAATCCAGCAGACATGCCAGCCAACAAACTCATCTCCAATCATTAGGTTCATGTTTGGTAACATATCAATTTAGAGAAATAATCAGTTAGTTTGTAAAAGGGATCTCAGAAAGCTGACAAAAATAACCGATTATTTCTCGAAAATAAATTAAATTAAACACATACTAAATTGTTCGCCATATCAAATTTTTTTATTCTTTTTAAAATTAGAAGTACCTGAGATTTATCAAATACACTGTCAGGATCACAATTTGATGGCCATGAGCCATCTTTGTAGTTTGGCCAGAGTCCATGAATGCTGAAATCTGCAGCAGGTTTTCCAGTTTTCGGATAACAGCAGCTCTGCTTCGTGTCACAGTATGCTCCTGGCCACTGCATGATAAGTGAAGAATCAGCATAAAATGTTATTATATAGAGAAATATATAAATAATCACACAAGAAAAATAGAATGAAAAAAGAAAAAGGAAACATTTAACAATTCTAGATTACCCATGACTAACCTGCTGAACAAAGTAGAAGAAATCAAAATCCTGAGAAAGGCATAGAACTGATAGATATTGCAGCATCAAAAGCGTGAAGAAAATGGAAAAGTTGGGTTTCATCTTTGATGTTTTCTTCCTCTCTTTCTCTCTGAAGAACTTAATTATAAAGTGAAATGATCGATGATGTTGATATAAAGTGGTTTTTATATAGGCCTGAAAGTTATAAATTTACAATGAAATGACTCTGATTGAGCTTATAAGGCATGCTAATGGAATATGCGAACGAATCTTATGCTAATTTACCATCCTCTTTCTCTAATTGTAAATTTTATCCACAAAATCCACAGCGTGCCCTCCAAGTTGCTTTTGTATAATACAGTAATTCTGGTATTTTCATCCACAAAAAAGATGTATCCAGCACCATATTTTTTAAATTTATGCCTACCCATAGTAATAAGTAATCAAATATATTTATTAACATACCTCCACATCTAAATAATATTTGACAATTCATGTTGAGAAATCATTATCCCTTAGACGGATTCCATAGCAATGGATTGAAATCACATTCACTAGTCCTGAATAAAAAAATGACACGTGGTTAAAAGGTTATTTTCTATTGGGAGACACAAAACGAGGAAAGATGATTTGGCTCCCATAGCAACTTCCTCACACAAATTAAGTTTTAGTTCTTGAAATTATAAAATGTCTCATTCTAATATTTAAAATTGTTAAAGGTTGATCATTTTATATTTTCAAGGATTAAAATAACTGTTGTGGTGTAGTAGTAGTGTATTAAAACGATCATAAGTTAATAATCTTAAAGACTAAAATGATATTTTATAGTTTTGAAGATTAAATTAACTGATAGATACTTATATAGGCTATATATATATACGTTGGGGTCAACTTTGTAAGTCACCTAACGTACCAATAACCGCATATTCGTATCAAGCGTGTTTTATTTTTTTACGCATGAACGTGTCAAGTGCTATGAATTTCATTTATAATTGGAGAGAAACATGTTTGGAACCTAAAACACAAATAAAAACAAATAGTAAGGTGGAGGTAAGGAAATGATCTTAATAGGGTTTTGTTAATTACCATGTTGAAGACGTGAAGTCTAGTTTACAATGTTGTCGTTCACCTTTGTGCTTTATGACAAAGGGAAGTTTGGTAGTTAGCGTGCAAGTAAGTCAAAATGAGGGTCTTGCGTGTTCGCAACTTAGCAACAAGCTGTTTCCTAATCAACTACCTTTTCCTTGTCTGAACTTGTTTTCATTCCTTATCAAAAGTTAATTTCTTCCTCTCGTTTCGTTGCATTTATTATTATTCAATTCCTTGTTCAAACTCATGATCTTGCATGGCCTTTTCATTATAACTCAGTTTGTTATTGTTAAAAAATCAATTTTGTTTTAACTCCATCTTTATTATAAATCAATCAGCACACTGCGGTTCATCCATTCCCATTTAAGATAAAATTATGAAATGCATGCAAATGTAATTGGAATCTGTCCTTAATGTGAACGGATCGCGAAGATGGTATGCTACTATTTTATACTTAAAATGATATTAAGAATAGTTAGATTACTTGACATGTGTTCCAATTGGATTTTCAGTGTTCATACGTCGGTGGCCACTATCAACCACCCCTATGTTCATCTTTCTAATTAACCAATTGTTATGAGTCTCGTGTCAAATAACATGGATTTAGATCCAGAAGAAATAAAATATGAAATTATATATTTTAGATAAATTAAAAGTTTTTGTATCCTAACGTACGATTGGTATCGAATTCCTTTAATATAATCATGTTATGTTGCTTAATAACATGAATAAACATCTTTTATATTTCAAAACCATGGATATTAATTATTTTTCTCTATTTTATGGGATAAAAAAAAGTAAAGCTTGATTGTTTTAAAGTTATGATCTCAAACTCTGTTTTTTTGTTTTATCTTAAAATGTGTGTGAATGGAGTTAGATAAAGAAAGTAAAATGACATTTAATATGATTGCAATGATAGTCTTATCAAAATGTAAAATTTGATTTCAAGAGTTGATTTAGTTCTTATAATTTTTATCTATCAAAAACGAAATTGACTGAATATGTTGCATATTAATTATACTCACTTTTGGATGCCTAGCTGTGTAATTAATGCCTAATTCTGAGGAGATTTGATTCGATATTCGCGTTTGACCAAATCTTAGATGACACGATACACCTGTTTAACCCTAATTGAGAATTGTTATGAATTAAGTCAAGATTTGTGTGCATTAAAAATGTCAAAGTTTGCTGCATCGTTTGTTTACTTGTTTGCTTGTGAGATTTGTAAATCTTCAAATGTTGAAGATTGTCAAAATAAGAAACTGAAGAATAGACTATATGTCAGGCTACGTTTGAATAATTGATATTTACTATTTTGTTTTGTTGTAAGTGAAGAGCCTATAAAAGGCAGTAGCATGTACGAGGAAATATACATCAATTGAGTGAATATTTTTTAGCAAATGTTTCTTCCTTTCTTCCTTTATTGTATATGAGTGAGAATTTGTGAGTTGAGAGATAAATAATCATGTCTCTGTGCCAACAAAATTGGTATTAGAGCACTGGATAGATCCAGCATTTGTTTTGTGAGTCTGTGAGAGAGTCAGTAAAAAAAAAATTTTAAAAAAAAATATTGAGTGTGTGAGGAACAAAAGAGTTCTCATTTTATCAAAATTTTTTGAGTCTATTTGAGAGAGAAAGATGGCCACAAACTACAATATTATTTGGTCTGGTCCCAAATTAGATGGGAAACTAGATTACAATTATTGGGCATTATTGATGTCCACTCATTTAAAAGCTCACAATATTTGGAGCTTTATTGAACAAGGCATACAACAAGGAGCTGATGATGCAACTCAAAGGAAGGACCAGTTGGCGCTTTCACAAATTCACCAAGGTGTAGATTATTCAATTTTTGGCAAAATAGCAAATGCCAAAACAGCCAAAGAAGCGTGGGACATCTTGAAGCTATCATACAAAGGAGTAGAGAGAGCTCAGAAATCCAAACTACAATCCATGCGTCGAGAATATGAAAGATATGAGATGTCCAGTTCAGAAACCGTGGAACAATATTTTTCACGGGTAACAAATCTTGTCAATAAGATAAGGGTGTATGGAGAAGACATCCCTGAAAGCAAGGTGGTGGAGAAAATTCTACGCACCATGCCGATGAAGTTTGATCATGTGGTGACTACAATAATTGAGTCCCATGACACAGACATCATGACGGTTGCAGAATTGCAAGGTAGCATTGAAAGCCATGTGAGTAGAATATTGGAGAAAACTGAAAAATCAAATGAAGAAGATTTGAAAAGCCAGGTGAATTTTACCAACATAGCAGAATCCAGCCGAAGTGAAGACGGTAGAAGTCGTGAAGGTGGAAATATAAATTTCAGAGGTAGAGGTCGTAGCAGCTTCAGAGAAAGAGGTCGTTGTAATTTCAATCAACAATGGAAAGACAACAATTTCAGGCCACCTAATCAAGGAAGAGGTGGACACAATATCAGATCTACCAACTGTGGAAGAGGAAGAGGCAGCTTCACCTACCAAGAAAGGACAAATTTCAATTGCTACCACTGTGGAAAGTTCGGGCACAGAGCTGTAGATTGTAGATTCAAACAACAAGCAAATATAACAGAAAATCAATATGAGCATACAGGTGAGAGTTTTGATAATCCACAAACCTTACTTCTAGCAGCAAATAGATTTTCAAGCGATGGAAATATTTGGTACCTAGATACTGGCTGCAGCAACCACATGTATGGGAAAAAGGAGTTATTTTTCTCACTAGATGAAACGGTAAAATCTACCGTGAAATTCGGAAATAACTCTAATATTCTGATTTTGGGAAAAGGCCGAGTTGCAATCAGATTGAAGGACGGTTCTCAAAACTTCATCTCTGATGTTTTCTATGCTCCTGGTCTTCATCACAACCTGTTGAGCATGGGACAATTATCAGAGAAAGACTACAACATGCAGATACATGATGGCTACTGTATGTTGGTTGACAAAAATAGGAGATTCATTGCCAAGGTAAAAATGACTCCTAATCGCCTATTCCCTTTGAAAGTTCAACAAGATAAAATTCCTTGCTTGAGTTCCATCATACAAAATGATGATTGGCTGTAGCACATACGCTTTGGACATTATCACTTTTCTGGATTAAATTTTTTATCTAGAAAAGAGTATGTATTCGGTTTGCTTGTTATAAACATTCCTGAAGGTATATGTGAAACTTGTAAAATTGGAAAGAAACACAGAGAATCTTTTCCAACTGGAAAGTCCTGGAGAGCAAGAAAGCCATTGGAGATTGTGCATTCAGATTTATGCATGGTTGAGATACCAACACATGGTGGTAGTAGATATTTCATCACTTTTTTTGATGACTTTAGCAGAAAAGCTTGGGTGTATTTTTTGAAACATAAATCAGAAGCTTGTGATTACTTTAAGTCATTCAAGGCATTTGTAGAGAAACAAAGTGGCTACAAGATTAAAGCACTGAGGACAGATAGAGGCCAAGAATATCTTGCCTGTGCAGATTTCCTTGATCAACATGGAATTCAGTAACAACTGACAACAAGATACACTCCTCAGCAGAATGGAGTAGCAGAAAGGAAGAACAGGACGATCATGGACATGGTGAGATGCATGCTAAAGACAAAACAAATGCCTAAAGAATTCTGGGCAGAAGTAGTTTCTACTGCTGTGTATATTTTGAACAGATGTCCAACAAAGAGTGTTTGTGATAAAACACCAGAAGAAGCTTGGAGTGGAAGGAAGCCCTCAATCCGGCATCTTAGAGTTTTTGGGTGTATAGCATATGCCCATGTACCAGATCAACTTAGAAAGAAGCTTGATGACAAAGGAGAGAAGTGCATTTTCTTTGGTTATAGCACCAACTCAAAGGCGTACAAGCTTTATAATCCAGTGACAAAGAAGGTAATTATCAGCAGAGATGTGACCTTTGATGAAGAAGGAATGTGGGATTGGTCTTCCAAGCCCCAAAATGAGCCTGCAATAATTCCAGAAAATTATGAAGAAGAGGATAGACGTGCAGATCCAACACCTGATGAGCCAAAAACATCGAGCAGACTACAAAGGCAAAGGAGACTAC